TCGAATCAAACATTGATTTGGATTTGATCAAATAAATCATTCTTTGATTTGAATTTGATCAAATCAAATCAAATATACATTTGAATTTGTATTTGATTTGATTTTCAAATCAAATATTCAAATATCAAATCGAATTGCAGAACCCTAATTATCATAACCTCTTGAATCCTGAATAAATGATGAATAGCTCCTTTGAATACTTGGTGAATGACTTCTTCTAGTACTTAGTATACGATCTTTTCTGATCCTTAAAGATTGTTAGGTTCTCAATGTAGATTTTATAAATATGTACTTTTTTACCTTGATGAATGACTTGATGAGTAACAAGAGTATCTTGAACCTTTCCTTTCTGGTGAAAGACAAGGGTATTTTTTCTTAGTAAAGAATTTAATGAATAATAAGAGTATCTTAAGTTATTCATTCTTGATGAATGGCGACTTTGTGAACTTATATAGTATGATCTTAAACATTGTTGACTTATTGTATTAATTTTGAATGATTTTCGATTGCGCATTTTTAACTAAGAAAAAAATAAATATAGTTTGGAGAAAAAAAAATATTTTTTTTTGTTTTTGTTTTTATTTTTATTTTTATTTTTTTTTTCATATTAATAAATAATACTCTTTTTTTTATTAATAGACAAAATAGAAAATCAATTTATCAAAATTAGAAAATCAATCAATTTATATACATAAATTAATCTATATTTAGATTACAATTTAGTTGCCTTATTTAGATATCTATTAAAGTTTTGTATTAATTACAAATTGATGTCAATTAAACTTAATACCAAATATATTATTTTGTAAACACATATATATACAATTTTTGTACAACAAACGTAAATATAAATTAATCATCTCAAAATTTTTTTTAAAAAAATTATTAACTGCAATGCCAAAAACATATTGAAAAACGAAAAAATCTTTTGTAAAAAAATCTAATAATCTATCGGTTGACAATAATAAAGTAAATTGAAGAAAGTACATTATTATTGTGATAAATGCAAAAGTTGCTTGATTGATCTATATACAGAAAAAAACATAATTTAAGAAAGAATATTAGACCGAGAGAAATTATCGAAAATATATTTTAAATTGAAGTTTACCTGATGATTCAAGTTAAACATTCAAACCTATTCAACCTATTGAAAACTATTCATTTCTTCCTAAGAATTACCAAAATGTGATTCAAAAGGAAAATAAAAAGGTATCAGTGGTGATGGTAGTGGTGATATAGGAGCTATGCTATTAAAAATGGGTTATGGGAATCTTTCAACAAAAAATGAGATTTTTGATTCATATTATAGTATATTAAATAAACTTTATTTGGTTAAATTTTTA